ACAATGGGCAGGTGGCAGCGATGACACTTTCGACCGGGCCGACCGATTGAGGTTAAGGTCATGCTGGGGACACGGGACACGTTCCATTACCCGTCGCACCGATCCAGGGGTTCCGCGACGCAGCCGGTGGTCACACAATGGGCACGAGCCGCCGCAGAGTGGACAACAACCGTTGTTTACCCGTGCCGGCGACGATCGCTTACGATGACGGCGATGACTACGACGACGACGACGTCGTTCAAGTAATGGCGAACAGGTGGCGGTGGCGGTGGCAGTAGCGGTGAAGGTGACGGGGACAGAGGTCCTGTGGCCTCTGAGATGCTTCTGGTCCTCGAACGCCGCAAGTCAGCATTGTTCGTTGAACGGACGGAGCCATGAGGCGCTGACACGCGTGCCTCGGTCGAAACCAGCGTCGGCGATTCGCCTCACATCTGTGACACACGTCCGACGACGTTTTCAAGCTCATCATTGGAATGACACATTACCGATGGGTGACTAGTAATCCAAGTCACCTGACAATCAACTGAAAACACGTCGAACAAGCTGCACCTACGTCTAGCCTGTATCACTACGCCTCTACGTGTTACTACGCCTCAACATTACAGAGGCCACAGGTCAAAGGAGGCTCGTCTTCCATGACAGACTTTACAAACTATACAACAAACATTTACAGAGCCAAACTGTCGTCCGTGTTAGCAACCGTTGAAAGAAACCTCCCATACTTCTCATATCAATAACCATAGTCGTTTATCCATCGATCTGAACCTTTACTCAGGTTCAGACAATTTATGCTTCCTCACAGCAGCTCCACCTCTTGATACTGTCAAACAGTAACACTATTCTTTGGAGGTAGTTTTTGTTCATGGTGGGCGAGACTCACCTTGCTTCAGTCCTTCGCTTAGCAAATTCGATGAGATTATTTCGCTGCGCAGCTTAGTGCTGTTCATTCGTTCTGAAAGCTCAATCCGGAAGGTCAGTGACAGGGTAAGTAATAATGATATTCAGGGCACTATTCAGGGAACTGTATTATTACGGTAGTTACCTCAGTACATACAACAGAAGAGTACTTTCTGAGAACTATCGCATTATAAATATTTTTCAAATGCAGTGCATAAATTTTGTAGAAATTTTCTTTGCGAGTCATGTGTTCGAAAACGTTCTCTGAGTGTAGCGACATAAAGACCGCCAAATTTTGTGAGGCGTCATGACTCGCATCGTACTCCATAATCCAACCTCGTTTCTCGAATGCTCAAAACTGACAATTGCCAAAGAAAGGATCGCTGAGAGAAGCACTATGAACTGTGTATCGTACAACCACTTGGGCAACAATGAAAGCCTTTCATGAACCTCGCCATGGGCATGACCGACTAACGAAGCCCTGGCAAACAACAGTCGGCATACCTTTTATGTCCCTGAAGCGGATTTATGCATACGAAGGCTCCTGCGACAAAAATTCTTTGAACAATCCTCAAAGCCAGAATGATGAACTCGTTTCGCCATACAATCAAAGCTCACAAAAAATAAATGACATTTCATGAACAACGCGGCTTGAAGAAGCGGACGATGCCGATGGACGATTTTCAGGAGATTGAAAAAAAAAGACGTCGCTTGGATGGCTCAAAACTGCAAAATCGTCAGTTCATACATCATTTTACCAACTTGACCTATGTAAGTCGTCATCTCTCGAAGCCGACAACGGCATTTACAACGTCCTGTGCACTAATTCACTGAAAAATCTGCTCATTTTTATGACCTCTGAGGAGCAGAACATTTTATGGCAACTGCAAAACAACAACTGACAAATAAGGTGCAACTCCTCCAAAAAAAATTTTTACAATATATTGCATCGCTTCCTCGCTATTAGCTGCGTAAGCAGGACATTATTCCATGGTATTCGAGTACCTACAATGCCAAATGTAACTCACATCATTTCGTTCCTTTGAGTCATTATGAATGATGTTCAGGAGTTAATACTCCTTATATGCTACAGTTGATTTATTACACATTAATATATTATGGTCTTATACTAGGAACGTTCTGAATTTAACATTTTCTCCTTTGAGACCGGACTGAAACGACGTAATAGCACTATCCTCTTGCTTTTAGCGATCTAGGACCACTTAACAAGGGCACTCGGCTCCATGGAATTTAAGCTCCTGCACTGCATGGATGCAATCTTCATCACTGGACTGGGCCGAACAAAGTCTTATTTGGACACTCGCCGATATACCGCTAATCCGTTCTGAATTTAATTACAGAAATTTCTGAATAATCAGTGAACGTATGAGTACAGTAGTAAGAAAGTGATACTTTTTGTTTGGTCGCGATTCATGTATTAAAGCAATAAAATACATTTATTCAATTATTCTTGCTACTACGGTCTCTTTTGCATGTCTAGGACAGCTAATGCCTTCGATGAGATAAGTCGGCCATCTGTATCGATCTATTTGTCAGGTCTTATCGAAGGTTCATTTAACTTTTTTTTGCCAAGTACATTTGATTGAATTTCTAGAGTTCAATGGGTGCCGGAACAATAGGAATTATGTTCAGACAGCAACAAGGTCAGATGACGTTAAGAGGGATGAGTTGTAAGAAAGCTAACGGCTACAGTCGAGCAATGTCTTTAATATACTCACTATCACTATGATTCTTATTGAGATGTCTTCAACATAATTCATTTTTCAGTGAAGTGATATGAGTCTACAAGAGTCTAAGTCTCGATCGCTAGTAAAAGTTTTTCTGGCCTCAGCCAACGGGAAGGCGAATCACCGACATGGGCCGCTGTTTCAAGAGACTGTGCATCGGCCAACAATCCGTTTAGACTGTCTAATCAGTCAGTCAGTTTCGATGACCGCTTCTCCTCTCGAGTCACGGAGGCATATGCTTCAGACAGAGTCTTCAACAAATTCCGCAGGAGATAACCGGAGTCCGGAACAGACAGCGTCTAAACACTTGCTTCACGTCGTTCTTGGTCGTCTCCGTGATCTTCGGCATTCGGTTAGGTTTTCTAACAACGCAAAGAATGGTGGACTTGAACCACCTCTATGAGGAAACACCTTCCGACCACTGGGGTGCGGTGGCGTGGTGGCAAAGGGGCCGGCTTCGAGCTTCGGAGATGCAAATTCGAATGTTGAAAACAACTTTCTGTTGGCGGCAAATTCCCAGGAGCAAGGAATTCGCCTCGCATTGCCGCGGTGCATGCAGATAGAAAAACAGGTATCGAATCGTTACTTGCGAGTGATTGGAGCAACATGATTTTCGTATACGATCGTACCAGAACGGCTGAGAGGCACGGCTTATATGATGTTACAGCTCAGAGAGCTGCAATTCGACCTGAGTAGCTTAACAACTGACTATCCAACGTCCCAATCAGCACAACAGGAAGTTCCTGTTATTTCGGTTGTTCCTGACCACCCCCATAAGTCCTGACTGCAGCAAGGCTAGCAGTGCCGCCATGCCCTTGCTGTCAATGAATTTAGCAAGTTCAGTTATGGCTAAGCGGTCACCTATTGTCTGAATCAATTTAGCAATAAATTTGTGCCTTAAATATGTAACTGCCAGATCTGTATATACGCTGTCAATATCATACGATTTGGGACCAGCAGAAAACATCCAGATTCCGCTGCATGCCATCACAGTAACCCCGAGTGACCAGGCTTGACAGACCTCAAAGCATTCAGTCGATGATCTTGTCAGCTAAGTCAGACATTGCACAGTTCGCGAAAGGTCCTACACTGCAGCGATTGACAAAAGCCCAGGATCAGCGGCGTAGTGGATGATAAACGGTCTGCTTTGAACTTTTCTAATCTTTTATGCCAATATAAATTCTATTGGTAATTGCTGGCTCCGCTGAGCAAGCAATTCACTCTCTCCCCTTTGGTGCGACCAGTGGAGAAACGGGTAGCTAGTCGTTGACATGCAAACAACACCGACCGCATGGTACTGTGACGTGATCGTAGCAGACCAAGCTAAGGTTACGGCCTTGCGGTGTTTGATGAGTGCGCCTTCCGGCTACAATTCGTCTTCATCCACAAGATATCTGATTATATACCACAAATCCAAAAAACCTAGCCCCAAGTCTGTTTATAACTAATATATCTTCGAAAGTCGAGCCGTGGACTCCATACAAGGCTATATCATATCAGTCTACGCAAACATTACAGCCCAAGATTTTATATACTGCGTCATAGATCTGTTTGATTTTCTATGTTTGCACATGATATGATGCTGCAGGACACTGCAACATGCAACTACGGCAGGTAATATCATTTCCCTGCTTCTCTCTCGGCACCGGTATCTAATGTAAATGGATATAATTTGGAAGCAACCAGACCTGAAGAGTTGATCAGATTTTAAAGAAAACAAAATGCAGGTGTCATCGTAATGGCTTCAGAACAACGGTCACAGCAGCCTGAGGACCAGGCCAACCGACGCCTGATATTTGCCCTTGATTCGCTTATGGGGTGAGCATAAAAATGCCGTCTAGCAAACTCCACGGGACGACGACGTTTATCTGGACGGCAGCTGGTAGCCCACCATTTTGAATCGATGGCAAATGCTTTCTTCAGTATTCCAGATTTGTTCAACGCGTTGGCCGATGACCACGCTTTGATGCCGCTTTCGTACCGCCAAGTCGACCTTCAATTATGACCTTTCAAATTCAGAGAGTCGACTGCTACGTGAACAGCTATTTGAGGACGAATACGGACAATGCTGATGACCTTCCGTTTTTCCTCACCGAGCTGC